CCAGGAGGAGGTTCTGGTTGACTGTGCTCAAACAGCCACAAGCTGGGCACAATTACTGTTCAATTACTGTAATGAGCAATATGGCTAGAGAAACACCCAGAGAGACATGACCCTCTGAAAGCTACAGGGTTAAGATACAGAGTTCTCAGGGACAGGATAGATGAGCAGCCAATGAAACTATTGCTCAATCTTTACAATCAAAATAAGTGAAAAATGGACAATGAGAGAGCCTGAAGCCGAGCTACTCCAATCAAAGTTGTAATCCATTGCCCAGTTTCCAGATTAGAGTCAGTAGTTGGGTCCAGAAAAAATAATGGAGAAGAATGGTAAAACTATTTCTTGGAATAAGTTGTGGCTCTTTGGGGGTTCCCCTTCTCCCAGAGATCATGACATCTTGAGATGCCATGCTCTTCACCTTTACCTAGAGGGAGGACTTTTGAGAGTTTGATGTTGTCTCAAGCTTAGACATGAAAAGATTGATGTCTCACTTGTGCCCAAAGCTAACTCGGTATCTACCTGGTGTCTATCTGACCAGATATTAACTAAAAGCAAAACAAGGAACACTTCACTTTGGACCCCTCCCACAGGGCCACCTGAAGGGATTGGGCGGGGGGTGACTGGATGACAATATCCCAGGGGACGAGCAAAGATTTTCAGAGGTGAAGGCAGGAGCCATGCTAGAAAGACCCACTAGATCCACTAGAAAGAGATAGCGTTTGTCTGTTCCAGAGAACACCCAATAAGGAGGTCCCAAACAAGTCTAAGTTAAAATTCATGACTAAAGAGACAAGAGGCAGGGGTGTGTAGAAGATTTGAGGTTTTTTTTTTTTTTTTTCCTCCTTCAAAGTTTAGTTGAATTTGGCCCAAGTAATGCCCTAGACCTGCTAATAAGGAACTATGGCTCCCTACACTAGGCAAACACACAGAAAACCCAATTTAGGACTTAAAAAATACAACAAAAAAACAACAATGGATGCGGTTGAGGCAATTACAGACTTCCATCTGATCAGACCACGCCCCAAGAAAGTGAACAAGCAACCAATCAAGCTCTTTCTGTCCCACTTCTCTTTTCTGTCTCTGAAATCTTTGAACCATTCCCAATTCATGCTACTTACAAATGCCTTATTACCATTAACTCCAACATACATTGAATCATCTAAAGTTTTTCTTTTAACAAGAAAAATTAAGAAATTTGAACAACACCTTTGTTGGAGATAATATTCTAATTTCTGAATTGAGGCAGATTGCGTTTTAATATAACCCAAGGCCTTTCGGTTTCTTAGGCATGGGCTGAAATACCGGATTATTTTCTGATTTACCATGGCAACAGCAGGGAGAAATAATCCCTCTATGTAGAATGTCCTGGGACGACGAGAGATGGAAAATAAAAACGCCGGTTTGTTTTAAATCCCTGAAGTGATAGTTCTAGGATTTGCACAAGAACTATTTGAGGAAAAAAAACAAAAACAAAAACAAAACAACAACAACAAAAAAACTTACACTAAAAATGGAATAAAAAAATATGAGCACAGTGAAAGAAGTGGATGGATTATAGAGATAGCTACATGATAGGGATATAGGAATAGATGTAGAGATGACAGATGATGCAGATAGATGTTAGAGGTCGATATAGATGATTGGTAGATGAATGCTGGAGATCGGTAGATGATAAAGATAGAAGATAGAACTTGATAGATAGATGTCTAGATAGATGGATAGGTAGATTGGTAGATAGATAGATGAGTAGACAGATGTAGAGAGGAAACCAAAGACCAAGACTTCATGGCTAACGAAGAGCAGATCTGAGGTCCAGCTCAACTCTCCAGATCTCTAGTTTTTTAATACCTATGTGGCACTTCCAGTTTCTTCCCTTCTAAGGATGTGATTACATCATCAAGGTCTGTCCCCTACTACAATGTAAAGGGGAAGGTTCACACGTGCCGCGGTACTGATGGATTATGTTGAATTTTGAAAGCTAGTGAGATGCACTTGAAAAATGGAGCGTAGCCCCAGGCTGTAATTTTGTTAAATGCTTTACAATGTTTTAGGGCCACTGGTAGTCTGTTCCTTGAGATGAAAATAATGTATCAGTGGGAACTAAGTGAAAGAGAATCAACCAGCCTTGGGTACCCAGACAGACTGTGAAGTCAACAAAACCCACACATGCCGTGGTCTGTGAATATTTCAGAAGTCCCCATACTCTCTTCTCCAAACCCTTCCTCTTCTTTTCCTCCTTTGTTTCTCATTTTCTCCCCAAATGACTTGGTCTCACAGGCAGTACTTAAATAATCATTGCACAACGCAATTAATGATTTTGTTTCCAAGATTCTCACTAGTATTTTATTTTTACCCTTTCTAGTGTGTGGTCTTTCAAATCACATGAATATAGAGATATGATCTTTGGCTGCCTTCCTCTTCAGCATATATATTTATGCCTTTAAAGCTTTTGTTGTTGTTGTTGTTGCTGTTCTAGGGTATTTTACTGATGACAGTCAGGTTTGTATTGCACCTACAAATCAGTCATAAGGAGATTACCTGAATACAAACTGTTATTAGGAAAATGATCACGACAAGAAAACAATAACAAAGAACAGCTTTAGGAAAGAGCCAGGAAAAAGCGTTACTCTTTTCAGAAAGGTTTCAATTCTCGCCCCCAGAAATAATTTATCAAAGGCTGTCGCTCTGAATAAAATTAGATTTCCCTTTTAGCTTCAGTAATAGGTCATTCCTGGAAAAGCAGAGCTCAGAAACATTTGGTAAAAAATTATTTTTACTGACAAAGGAGTTTGCCATATTATTGCTAGTGCAAGGACAGGAGCCAGGTTTAAGCGATCATCTGCCTTCAAAGTGGCAGTTTATCTCCCTCTCCCCCACATAGGCATCCTTCATGGTATGTGCAAAGTATTAAATATTTTCCCTGTGTCACTATTTGGTTAAAATGTAATCATATTTCAGAGTATATGCCAAAGCAAAAAAGACAAGAAAAACACATGAGGGAATTTTTCACTCATTTCTTCACCATTTCCTTTTATCTGTCTCCTTCATTTGCATTCTTTAACCCGACTACACTGATGTAGGTCTACTGATTGTTGAAGAGATAGGTAGCATTTTTTGCTAGTTCTTGCACAGACAGTACCCTATCTACTTAGTTCCCTACTGAATCAAGATGGCGGCCTGAAACCAGCACAGCAGTGCCCATCCGCAGTCCATCCACATCCACATGGGAGACTGAGGCAAGGAGGATTACTTGAGACCAGGAGATCACAATCAGCTTGGGCAACACAGAGAAGTCATTTGACACAGAGGCATGGGCAATAGGGAGAGGGGAAAGGGGAGAGGAGAGATTCCTAGAGTATAGGATTATAGTCATTTAAGGAAATAGCATGGTAAGTGTCTAGCCTAGCACATGGGTCAACACAGCTCCTAAATAAAAACAGATTTCTTCCTTCTCCACTCATAATCTATGATATTGCCACCACAGTAACCAAGTTGTAGACGATGTTATCAGTTTTCCTCCTTCAATCTCCCTTTCACTTAACGAAAGATAGTCATTAAGTTATAGAATATTAGAAACAGCAATTATCTTAAAACCATATTATGTGTTAACAGATTACAGCCCATGAGCCACCAACTATTCTAGCACATTTGACTCTTTGTATCAATTCAGCAATAACCACTACTTCACAATGAAATTTACTACTTGGTACTTGCCAATCATATTGAACAAATATTATGCTTCTGGCATACTATTATTCCTGAAGCATAATATTATCTGCATGATTATCCTATGGGATTTTGTGACTCAGAAAGGGTTTTATGGGTAGAATATTCAGTTGCCCTATAGCTCTTTTCTTTTTTTTTTTTTTTTTTTTTTTTTTTTTTTGATCTTTTTGAGACAGGGTCTCCCTGTAGCCCCAGCTGTCCTGGAACTCACTATCTAGACCAGGCTGGCCTTGAACTCACAGAGATCCGCCTGCCTCTGCCTCCCAAGTGCTGGGATTAAAGGCATGCACCACCACGCCCGGCACCCTATAGCTCTTTTCTCATGATTTATTAATATGAAGAGAAGGATTTCTCTTAAAGACAATTAGAAAAAACAAGATAATTCCAAAAGTTTGTAACTTACAAACTGACTGGTTAATAATTACAGCATGCATGCTGGACTGTTCCCTCTGTATTATGCACTTTCTAACATGCTTTCATTTTTTTCTCTTCTAAGCTGTTTATGGTCAAATATGATAAGGGAATCATTTTATTAAGCAAAATAAACAATGGACATGTTCACATATGTGTCCATTATAATGCAACTCTTTTTCCTTTCATATTCTATTCTGAGTAACTGTGTGCAATCCAGATCTCCTGTATAATACTTTTGTTTACCCCTTTCTCTCTCCTATGCTCCATGTACAAGATGAAAACAATGATCTATAGTTGATATATTTTATGTATGAAAACGGGAAGAATATAAATCATATGTGATGTTAGTCCACAAGTAATTACCTTCATGAAGATTCCATTTATTTATTTTCTTTCTTAAAAAATATTTTATTATTTTTACTTTTTATGTATAGGCATGTATTGCCTATATGTAGGTAGAAGCACGCATGTTATGTTATGCCCTCAGAGGTTAGAGAGCGTCAGATCCCTGGAACTGGAGTTACGATGGTTGTTAGCTACCATGTGGGTGCTGGGAATTGAACTGGGTCCTCTGCTCTTAACCACTGAGCCATCGCTCCAGCCCCAGATTCCATTTATTTAACACCCATAACTATTGAATATATTTCTCATAGTAATAAAATTAGAGCAGAGAAGGAAAAGCATCTAGTGATATTTGATCATACCAAAATCCACCTATTTGCAAGGGTGACTTGAAAAGTTTCCAAAAGAACTGGCCTTCACACTTTAGCATTTTGCTCCCCAACCCCATCCACTGCTTCTGTTCAATGGGTGGTGAGCAAGTGAGGAACACATCCCATCCCAGTCTAGGCCCCTGGTGTTACCTCTGAAAGGCGAGGCCATGGTGCTCACAGAGGAAGATGGCTACCAGGACTCCAAGGCCATAAAGCTTCATCCCAACAGTGATTTGTGGATCAACAAAATTCCCTAGGGAGCAAGTCCCAGCTAACTGATTGCATAAGAGTCTTCTTTACACACTGGTTAAATTTTAACAGCATGTTCCCTCTTGTGTCTGTGGCACAGCTGACTTAGCTTCCATTTCCACTGTTTAAAAGAAACATACATGTATGATCAGTTATGTTGTTTGGTAACTGAACCCTCAAAAAGAAAGTATGATGAGAGGCATTCTGTTTAATGTGGATGATCTTTCTTCTGACACTGTGATCTGACAGTGTATATAGAGTGTATATAGATCTAATCATGTATATAGAGTTCTTGCTCCCCAACCATGCAACTGATTTACAAAAAACAAAAACCCACTCAAAATTATTTTTAATTATTTTATCATGTTTTAAGTAAGTTTACAATTTTGTGTTGGACCCTGCTCAAAATGACCTTCTGCCCCACGCAGCCTGCAGGCTGCAGATTGGGCATATCTGTGGGAATGCTTAACCCCTCAGGGAAGAGAAGGCCTAGAAAGAAAGGGCCGGCTGTGGTCTTCTTCAGTGAAGAACCACAACCATAGAATGTTGATTGGTGAGATCGTAGTACAAGTGAAGGGGAGATCTCCAGTGAAGTACAAAGCTATCTTCTCCTGGGCATGTCCTTTTAAACATTTTCACCTTTGATGAAGCTAGAAGAAGACTTCTTCAAAGTTGTGGCTTTAAAAGGCTGAGTAGTAGTTTATGCATAAGACTGAGTCTATATTAAAAAATATTTCCTAGGGCTGGAGAGATGGTTCGATAGTTAAGAGCATTGGCTACTCTTGCAGAAGATCTGGGTTCAGTTCCCAGCACCCACATGGCAGCTAACAGCTATCTGTAACTCCAGTTCCAGGGGATCTGATGCCCTCTTCTGACCTCTGTGAACATTGCATGACATGAGTGCACGTACATATACACAGGCAAAACACTCATACACATAAAATAAAAATAATAAATAAAATATTTTTAAAAATCTTTCCTTAACCATGTGGAATAATAGGCCCACTGTTATGTCACACGGTCTGGTTCAAGCAGTAAAGACATTAGTCAGCTTTGAGTTGCATTTATTCACAAAAGTCAGCACAATAGCTGACTCATCTCAATCAAGGCCCACTCCCATTATTCTGAAGGTGGCATCATTTCACACTCTGTCTAGCACAAGGCCACATCTGAACTCTGTAAGGAGACAGTCCTGACACTCCTCATGTTCCATTGGTAGGGCATTTAGGCGTTCTTCAGGTCAGGACAGGAAAATGTGCAAAATGGTTCACCCTGTCCACAACAAATATATGATAAAGAAAAGGCTAGCATTTCAAAGTTCTCCCTCTGGGATTTAAAACCACTGAAATAAAGTTGCGGGAGTCAAGGTGCTTTTTGTAAAATAGAGGAGAAATAAGAAAATGCACTTGTACCTGCCCATTTGTGGGAAGAGAAACGCAGGCAGTCCAGATCATAAATTGATGAGATTGGTCATCCACAGGCATGTGTGGAAAAGATGGCAATGGGGACGAGGAGGTGGGAGAAGAGACACTTATTTGACTGAACTTTTTTGAATAGGGTCATGTTATGTTTTCACATATTCAAAATAAACAAGTAAATAAATTTAAGTGATGAATACCAACAAAGTAAAGAAATCTGTGTTTCAAACGAATAATAGCCACATTGAAGAAGAGAGTGAAAAATTAAGCAATTTTTAGTGTTCACATGTGTATGTATGTGTATACACATGTGTGCATGATTTTTACCTTTTGTTAGGTAAAGTTAGGTAAGTGCACCCATGTCATGCAATGCCCAAAGAGAACAGAAGAGACCATTGGATCCCCTGGAACTGGAGTTATGGACAGTTGTTAGCTGCTGGGTGCTGGGATTCGAATTCGGGTCTTCTGCAAGAACAACCAGTGTTCTTAACTGCTGAGTCATCTCTCCAGCCCCCGCTTTAATAAATTTTATACTATATATTTTGTGTCCTTATTTCTTTAAAAGAGTATAAAAATCAATACATTTTGAATTACATCTCTTCTTGCTGAAACAACCTGAACTTTTTCTTTAGCAATGATCTATGATGTGTTACGATATTTTATGCCCTCTATGTCTGACATTAACTTTTTCTGTGTCCACTCCCAAACACTAGTTTAGCTGCATGAAACGTGGTGTTAAAGGCTTCCCTGTCTGTTGGCATCTTTCACTGTGTAGTGGCAATCTGCAGTCAGGTTCACCACTGCTCCAGGACAGGTGAGTTGTTCTATGTCTTGATGACTTTTGAGGAATTATCTTTCTCCTTGATGCTTCTCAGACTTGTTCCTTTGGTCTAGATGTGGATTTTTTGTATTATCTTTCTCAGTACACAGAATGTGCTTTTGATCTGAGGATTTAGGTTTTCTTTTTTTTTTTCAAACTTTAAAAAAAATTTTATTTATTATTTTTATTTTATGTGTATGCGTGTATTGCCTGCATGTAGGTAAGTGCACCCATGTCATGCAATACCCACAGAGAACAGACGAGACCATTGGATCCCCTGGAACTGGAGCTATGGACAGTTGTTAGCTGCCATGTGGGTGCTGGGATTCGAACCCGGGTCTTCTGCAAGAACTAGTGTTCTTAACCGCTGAGCCATCTCTTCAGCCCCAGATTTAGGTTTAGAAAACCACTTTATCATTTCTTCAACTATTACATTTGTTATAATCTTTGCTAGTCCTGTACTGGGCTCCCATTAGAGTTCCTTGGTCCCTCTTGTGATTATCTTTTCATGTTCTAAGCAATTCTGATCTTTATCTCCCATGCTCTGCACGGGGTGCATGTCTCAGCACTGTCTCCAAATTTCCTGATCCATTCCATCAGACTACATAGTCAGAAAATTATTCCAGAAACTGTAAGCCTTTTGTAATGAGTTTTTAATGTTTAATCTTTTCTAGTAAGATTGTTTAAGTCTCTCTCTCTCGCTCTCTCTCTCTCTCTCTCTCTCTCTCTTTCTCCCTTCCCTATCCCTGTCTTTATTTCTGCAGTCCTGAGAACTGAATCCAGGGCCTTACCTATGTTTGGCAAGTGCTTTCCTTGTGCTCTAACCCAGCCCCTCTTTCAGGTCTTTGTGAGAATACTCAGAATACTTACGTTAAAAATATTTTACTTATTATTTTAATTTTATGTGTATGAATGTATTGCCTGCATGTGTGTAAATGTACCTGTATTGTGCATTGTGCAGTGTCTGTGGAGGTCAGAAGAGGGTGTTGGATCCCCTGGAATTAGAGTTACAGATGGTTGTTAGCCACCATGTGGCATGTGGGTGCTGGGAATTGAATCCAGGTCCCCTTAAGTACAGCCAGTGCTCTTAACTGCTGAGCCAACTCTCCAGTCCTTATTTATTATTTTTATTTTATGTGTATGAGTGTATTGCCTGCATATATGTAAGTGCACCTATATTGTGCAGTGCCCGTGGAGGTTTATGAATATAACCGCAGTTGCTGATCCATTTTTCTGTAAAAGGACTTCTGGGGTGTCTTCAGCTTGGGGCTGTTCTGTATAGAGCTGCTATAGATAATCTTCTACAAAGTTTTTAAAAATTTTATGTGTATGGATGCATTGCCTGTATGTGTGTAAGTGCACCTGTGTCATGCAATGCCTGTGGAGGTCAGAAGAGGGTGTCGGATCCCCTGGAACTGGAGTTACAGATGGTTGTTAGCTGTCATGTGGATGCTCAGAATCAAACCTGGGTCTTTTGCAAGAGCAGACAGTGCTCTTAACCACTAAGCCTTCTCTCCACTCCAGAATGCTTAAAGTCAGTGTCACACTGCTCTGTAAGGTCAATTATATTTAGAGTGAATCCATGTTCGCAGGTTGATTTTCTTGCCATCTTGCTTAGCATTTTTTTCTTCGGAGATATGGAAGCCCGAGTTGAGGCTTGCTTTGGTGAGGATGTCTTCTTCTGAGTAGGAGGTTTCTATTCTGTTTCCCTCTTTGTATGCTCACATCTCCCTGTTTTGCAAATGCCCCTACTCCCAGCAGCTCCTTAACTTCTGATCCTAAGTCCTGTCTCATACAGGTTTTTGGAGTTCCCACGTCATAATACTCTGGTTTTTGAAGATCCAGGCACCAGTCAAGAATGAAGTGACATGGTTACTGGTTTTACTGGTTTACTTGATCTGGCAGCTACTTATAAACCATTGTTAGGTAGCAGTGAGCAGCCATTTAAATTCTTTCTACTGAGGCACATACAGCAAAACACGTAGGTCTTATGTGTTGTTGGATTTGTCTTGAAAATTATGTGTACTTGAGTAACATACACCATCAAGGTACAGAAAATTTCCATCGCCCCAGAAAGTGCCCTCACAGCTGCCTCCCTCCTAGTCAGTTTTCCATCCCAGCAGCCACTGCTGTGATTCTACCACCATAGTTAAATTTTACCAGTTCTAGAACATCATAGACTACTATAGTATGCTGTCTTTGGTATCAGGCTGCTTTTGTTAGCATATTTTAAAGAATCTTTGTTATTGTTACATGTGCCAGTAAGAAAAAAATTCCTTCTTATTGGTGAGCAGCATTCTAGTCTATCAATATAACCATATTTGTTGATTCATTCTTCTATAAAGGGCATCTGGGGTGTCTTCAGCTTGGGGCTGTTCCATGTAGAGTGGCTATAGATGTTCTTCTAAGGAGCTTTTTTGCGGATGCATCCTTTCATTTCTCTTAAATAAATACCTTGCAATGATATTGCTAGGGAATAAGAATGTTTAGTTTTATAAGCAAGTATAATTTTTTTTCCATGGTGGTTGTACCATGCAGTGTTACTATTAACATATGTTAAAGTCTTAGTTGGCCCACATTCTTGTCATTATCTGATGCAGTCTTTTCATTGTAAACTATTCTGGTGTGTGGTGGTCTCTAAGTTGGGTTTTAATTTACATTTCTATGATGACTAAACACATTGGGGAACATTTTTTCTGTTCCTATGCATATACATATGTATATGCATATCTATATATGGTACAGCGATATATGTGGT